ATTATCACCAAATTAATACCTTTAACTAATTAAGGATGGAAAAGATTAAGCAAACATTAAGCTACAGAATCGTCTCCTGGATTGTTATGAGCATAAGAACCTGCTTTTTTTGCGATTTCAAATCTGATTTTTTTTGTGGCAATACAATTCTAAGGCCGTAAATAAAAATCATTATACTATTGTCTGGTCAATTTAAGATCTATGCTGAATAGGTTGAAGTTCTGTCGATACTACAAATCTCCACTTTTGGGGAAAGCAACAAACTTGGAATCACCAATGAAGATTCAAACAGGAAGACAACTGCATATTTAACTTTCATAAAAGCACTTCCTTATTTTGACCATTTATATATATCAAGTATATACACCATCGACTCAATTTCAGTCTTCTTTAATCTCCGGCGGCCGGTGGGCGGAGCTAAATGACCTACATGATCTCTACTACCCGAAGATTCTTAAATTATCACCAAATTAGTACCTTTAACTAATTAAGGATGGAAAAGATTAAGCAAACATTAAGCTACAGAATCATCTCCTGGATTGTTATGAGCATAAGAACCTGCTTTTTTTGCGATTTCAAATCTGATTTTTTTGTGGCAATACAATTCTAAGGCCGTAAATAAAAATTATTATACTATTGTCTGGTCAATTTAAGATCTATGCTGAATAGGTTGAAGTTCTGTCGGTACTACAAATCTCCACTTTTGGGGAAAGCAACAAACTTGGAATCACCAATGAAGATTCAAACAGGAAGACAACTGCATATTTAACTTTCATAAAAGCACTTCCTTATTTTGACCATTTATATATATCAAGTATATACACCATCGACTCAATTTCAGTCTTCTTTAATCTCTAACTGAACCAAATAACAAAAGCTTAAGCTTAAGCATCCACACACACAGAAAATGCAAAACAAATCTCACATAAAACTGTCCCAAGTCAGATACAGGGGAAACCAAGGTGAGATGATCATGTTTCTTATAGGGAACAATAACCATAGGTAAATACATACATTATTGCCCTGTTAGAAGGTACTTAGTTGTACTTCAAGTGGTACTGGGACATGAAACTAAGCCATTGAAATTTTTGAAACAGAATAGATGATAACACTAGTGTAGGCCATGAACAAAAATACAAAGAACATAATCAAGCATAACCCACCTCGACCGAAGCAACGTTTGATCAACAGCAGGAACTTGAACCTCATGATGCTACACCATATATCTATGGTTACCCTTTTTATTTCTCCCGCCTAACCTGAAGTAATTATCTGGACAAAATAGGGAGGCACACTTCAACTAATCAGTTCTTAGTAATTATAGAATGCCCTGTATTAAAGGAAGTAAAATCAAGCATGTATATGCTCTAACTTTCATAACTGCATGTAAACTCAGCGATTAACTTTATATACCAAAGTGTACAATTCTCAAGTTTAGCTACAGAGACGAAAACAGAGACAGAGGGCGTGCACCTGAAACCTGACGGAGTTTGCTTCGGCCTCCAATCCAGAACATAATCATCAACCATGCGCGCTTTCCCCATGTACTTCACAAGCATCTATAAAGATGGAATTGACATAAGCCATAAATCACAAGTTCTTGGCACCAACGGCAATAGGGTGTCATTTTAAACAATGTTCAGAATGATGGCT